AGTACTCTTTACTGAAAAATTAGTTCTGAATAATTGACTCATGGTCACAAATGTTAGCAATTCTCCCACATGGAAACCCCCTTGGACACACAGCACCACTGCACACAGGCTTGTGTGGAATAAATCTGTGGAATAAAACAGTACAATTAGAGATACATCCACTTTGACCATTGTGCAATTTGATGATTTTTTACCTTTTGGGATCGAAAGCTTCTCCACCTCTGGAACCTCCCCCAGGTGTTCTCCATGCCAGGCGTTCAATGTATTCATCTGCCACAAAAGGCTCCTGGCCACAGAGGAAAAAACCTTTACAATGTGTCACAGCAGGCTGTTCCTTCAGCAGGTGCTCACACCTCATTTTGAAAGTGTTTAGAAGCTTTACTATAATCAAAAGTACAGTGTTGGCAATTACTCCATCACCTTTTGGGCTTACATATTTATTGCTGAGAACACTGCTTTTAATATGATGAGTTGGAACATCAGGTTTAGATATTATCAGAGAGTTTGCAAAGAATGTGCTGCAGGTCTGTGAAGAGCTGGCTCTAAATAACATTATTTGCAGCTGAGTTTGTGGCTTTTCATTCCAAAGTGCTTGAGCTCTGCAGCTGATTTGAGAGGTTACACCACCCTAGCCAGCCATCAGCTGCACAGCAAAACACATCAGAGAATTCATCTGCCTACAAAAATTACGTGGCAAAATAAGGGGCTTTTACAGTTGTTCAACTCTCTGTCACACCACGGCACCACACACAGAACTGACCAAAAATCCCAGCCCAAAAAACCCAGCATGAGATGGCACTGAATGCAACCCCACTGCATTTTGTTTCTGCATTTATCTGCAGAAACGGAGCAGATAAAAATGAGGAAAAGAGGCATAAAAACAGAGGATGAATTTGATTTCCACATGCAGAAAAAACAGGGTATGAGTGATACTAGAACTCAAGGTTACACAAGTTTCTTCCATAATATTTGCTGGTTCTTCCATAAAAATACCACTCAAGGGTAAAGAATTAAGATTATTTCTCCACCCAGCAACATTTTCTGAAGGCAGAGGCCTCATTTAAAAACTCAAGACGTCCTATTTTAGCTGGCCTAATAATCACACCAGCTCAAACATTTTATCACATAATTAATACCAAATTATTCTAAACAGAGTCCAATTTCTATCATTAATAAAAATAGTATTTATCACTTCAGCAGCAGTGATTAGGTGCTAACATCAGCACTGGTAAGACCAGGAAGGAAAATATCCCCACAACCACTAGGATTTTATAGAAAGCTTTTGAATCATAAGAAACAACAGTTCTAGAAGTGTGAAACAACCCAAAGCATAGTTGGGAGTGGCTCTGGTGAATAGGAGTATTTGATGAAACAACTGAATATGCCACCACTGATTTTGATAAAACTGGTTGAAAAAAATGAAAATAGTAAAAAATAAAGAGATCTAAACAGGTATTACATTGGTAACTGTATCAATATCTCTGAATCTTTGTCACAAGGAATAAGGAGGGGAAAAACAGTGTTACAGAGTTAGTCTTGAAAGTAAAACCAAGAGTTGAAAAGCAAATATTGCCTGTTCAAGGTCTGTTTCCTCAGAAACAAATTATGCCCTATCCAGTCAGGCCCAGCCACTAACCAGGAAGATAAAAGCTTTTTAAATATACTTTGTCACACGCTGAATCCTGATAGACATGGCAGAAATGTTATCACTCAGTAACTCCTCATGCAGACTGACTCAAGTAACTACGTTGTGCTCAGCCTCCTTGGCTACACTTCAGAAATAACTGGCTGATACCACATAAAAACAATTTCCCTCCAAGTCACTCATCTCTTTAACCAAGTCCTTCCTGATACACAAGGTGAAGTTTCCTTTACAAGAATCCTCTTCATCAAAAGCCACAATGCCACGTTTCATGCCAAGTGTAAATTCCCTCCTTATGCCATCTTGAGATCTAAAAGTTTGGAACACTTTTGTAATTTAATTACAGGTAAAATGAGTCATTCAGTGCAGTAACATTCCATTCAGGGGAGGCCTCCAGCTTCCCAATTACCTCAGGGCTCTTTGCAGGACTTCTCCTTTATATGAAAATCCCCAATTTTTCCTCTGAAGATCCTGTAATTTAGCTGAGGTACCACTCTGGTTACAAGGATGCTAAAGCCAAGTATGGAAGAACCCTGAATAAAGGGTTTACTGACACTCTGTGTGTGCAGATAACATTTTCTACATTTCTCCCTTTCCCAGATGTTCATACTAAAAGATAATTCACCCAAACACATATAATGGCTTTGAATATTTTTTCATGTTTGTAAAACAACACTCATAAAGTTTTTCTGCAAGCCTCTTCCCCTAAGGAAATCTGATGTAGATGCCTCAGAACCCAAAAAAATATTATAATGCAAATCTTTCTCCACCCCATCATGCCTCTATATACCTCTAAATATTCCTTGAGTTCATGTGTACACAAACCTGTACCTCCCTTCCTGGAAAATACCTGATTTTTCAAGAATACTTACACAGGAGACCTGTCCTTCAGTTTTTAAATCATATAAATAGTGTTTTATATTATTTAAGAAATATTAACTGCAGTGGCTATTATGTGCAGGATCAACAGAGAAATAAAATGAGCTTCCCTTTTCAATTTTCTACAGAGGGTGTGCTAGAAATAATCTACTTGATTTATATAGAATAAATGAAGTTCAACAGTATCTTTCTAAGACATGATTTTCCAGGTTCCACTGCAGATCCAAAACTTCTTACTTTAGTTTGTATCTTCCACACACGTTTGCTTTTTTAAATGCTATCTTGATAACAGGGTTCCTCATAGCTGACAGCCTAACTCCTATTTTAAGTCCCCTATCCTGGTCTGCAGAAATTGCTGAAAATCAGCTATTACAAATGTCATTTGCAAGTCCTTTGCCTGCTATCAGATGAGCCCCAACAGTCAATTTCTCCAGCTTTGAACTTCCCTCTGGCTCCAGAGGAATTAATGTGATCCCATCCATTCAGCCAATACTCCTGATTTAATAAGAGATATGCCTGAAGTGGGTCATAACCTGGTTTGATCTGGTGTTTACAAATGAAGCTACACTGGACACAGCCAGTTTAAAAACCAGTTTAGAAGCATCCACTGTTAAATTATGCTTTAAGTTATGTGAGGGAGAATTCAGTCCATGTTATGCCCATTTTCAACACAGATCCTGCTGCACAAGTTCCCATATCTGTACTGAAATATACTTAAAACACACACTCATGAAAATATGGTAATCAAATTCCATCCTCAGCAGACAGCTAAGGGCTACTCCCATAACAAGCAGATTTTTATGTTTTTATATAAGGCAAAAATTTCAAACTAACCAAGTAGGCAACATTAAATTAGCGGACATCAACAAAAACTCTCTTGCCTTTGGAGTGAAAGTGAACTGAAAGTGGGAGAGACAGAAATACTGGATTCCATGTTGGAAAGGCATAATTTCTAGCCCCAATCTCCAGGCAAAAGTCTCACCTAATTTGCAATTTTATCTTTATTGCTATTGCAAAATGGAAAAAGCTGTTGCACGACCCAAATCAGCCAAAACACAGTTTTCTTTCCATATTCAAATCACCTCACACTCAACACCCCACAAAGAATAGAATGGCACTGTCATCATGTTGAGAAATCAAGGGGCTCCTAGAGTGGTGTAGGGAGGGTACAAAACCTGGCATCCAGCCACAGGAACACAGTATTTTAGTCCTGCTATTTTTTAAAGCTATGCAAACCAAAAGATGTGAGTCATAACACTCGTGTGCCATCGCGATGATTCACAAACTCAAATGCACACAATGCATTTACATGAACCCCAGAGATGGGTTCTTCCAGAGAAAATGGAAGACCCTTTCCTGAAGGCTGGGCAATGTGAGTCCCAATAATAACCCACCAGAAAAACAACCAGTTCTTGAGTGACTTGGAGAGCAAATACAGGACACCTGGGGATGACACCATGACACAGGGGTGAAGAGGAAGTGGGGACACCACACTTTCTGTTTAACACAGGCCACATCACACGAGTTCATGGTCCAGGCCAGAAGCTGAAGCCACAGAATCACAGAAGGGTTTGGGTTGGAAGAGACCTCAAAGATCATCTTGTTCCAACCCCCTGCCATGGGCAGGGACACCTTCCACTGTCCAAACCCCATCCAACCTGGCCCTGAGCACTGCCAGGGACAGGGCAGCCACAGCTTCTCTGTGCCAGGGCCTCAACACCCTCACAGTCGAGAGTGGTATTATTCTAATATCCAACCTTTCAGCTTGAAGCCATTCCCCCTGTCCTGTCACTACACATTTCTGTAAGAATTCCCCCTCCATCCCTTTGGCAGGCTCCCTTCAGGAGGGAGACGATCCTCGTGCATCCCTTCCAACGTAGGGCATTCCGCAATCCCACGGGAAGAATCTGACAGACTCCTGCTATTCCCGTCCTGCTCCTGCGTGGCCTTGGCCGAGCTATTCCCCTTCCTCGCCTCGAGTAAAGGGAGGGCAAACTCTTTATTCCTTTATTCCGCTCCAGCCCCGCCGTTCCCACCGCGCCGGGGCCGGGCAAGGCAGCGCGGGGCCGGGCCCGGCGTGGCCGTGCGGCAGCGAGGCCCTGCAGCGGGGCCGGGAGGGCACCGCGCCCCGCGGGGCGGCACCGCGGCTCCCCAGCCCCGCGCACCGCCCGCCCTGCCCCGCCGACAGCCCGCCGCGTCCCCTCGGCGAGCCGGCCCCCCGCCCGCGGGGCCCGCACCCACCTCGAAGAGCTCGGCCGTGGTGGCCATGGCCGCAGGGAGGGAGGGAGGGAAAGGGAAAGAGAGGGAAGGAGGGCGGCGGCCCCTCAGCGCCCCGTGGCCGCCGCCGCCCCGCCGCTGCCGCCCATTGTGTCCCCCCGCCCCGGCAGCAGCAGCGGCGGCCGCGGCGCCGCCTCCGCCCGCCGGAAATGGCGCCGCGCCGGGCGGCCACGGCGCGGCCGCGGCTCCTCCCCGGCCGCCATCGGCACCGCCGGCATCGCCGCCACCATCGCCGCCACCGGCACCGCCACCGGCACCGCCACCGGCATGGCCCTGCGGGCGCTGTGGCTCCTCAGGCGCGACCCCGCGGCCGGCGGCGCCGTGCTCTTCTCCAGGTAGCGACGGTACCGCGGGCACGGCGAGCTGGGCAGTCCGAGGGTCGGGCTGGGGAGTCCCGGTCTGGAAGGGATCCAGGTGCTCTGAGGGATCCGAGTGCCCTGGAGGGAAGGGTGTTCTTGAGGGGAGCGGATGCTCTGGGGGTCCGGGTGCTCTGGAGGGAGCCGGGCGCTCTGGGGAGAGCAGATGCCCTCAGGGGGCGCGGATGTTCCTGAGGGGGGTCTGGAAGCTCTGAAGAAAATCCTGATATCCTGGGGGGATCGGGTGTTCTGGGGGTCTGGAAGCCCTGAAGAAAATCCTGATATCCTGGGGGGATCGGGTGTTCTGGGGGTCTGGAAGTCCTGAAGAAAATCCTGATGTCCCGGGGGGATCGGGTGTTCTGGGGGTCTGGATGTTCTGAAGGAAATCCCGGTGCCCTGCGGGTTTAGGGTGCTCTGGATGCCCTGAAGGAAATCCTGGTGTCCTGCGGGGATCAGATGCTCTGGGGGTCTGGATGTCTTGAAGGAAATCTTGGTGCCCGGGGGGATTGGGTGCTATGGGGGTCTGGATGCCCTGAAGGAAATCCTGATATCCTGGGGGGATCGGGTGCTCTGGGGCTCTGCAGAAAATTCTGGTGTCCTGGAGGGATTGAGTGTTCTGGGGGTCTGGAGGAAATCCTGGTGCCCGAGGGGATTGGGTGCTCTGGGGGTCTGGATGCCCTGAAGGAAATCCTGGTGTCCTGCGGGGATCAGATGCTCTGGGGGTCTGGATGTCTTGAAGGAAATCCTGGTGTCCTGGGGGGATCGGATGCTCTGGGGCTCTGCAGAAAATTCTGGTGTCCTGGGGGGATTGGGTGCTCTGGGGGTCTGGGTGTCCTGGGGGGACACTGCTGCCCTGTGGGTCTAGGATGCTGCCCCCAAAACGGATGCAAAAACCACCAAAACCATCTGATACTGAATAAATTCCTCGTCTCGTGCCAGCGCCGCTGGATGCTGTGCATTTCTGACTCCAATTTTAGAAAGTTCAGAATCAGAGTCACATAATGTGCTTTTAACTAAATATGGGAGCTTTTTCACAGCTTCTGCATTTTGCACGAGTTTCCTTGCTCCGTTCCTCTTTCTTTTTTGTCACTGTAAACATTTTGCCCAGCTCTTCTCCTTCCTAACATGGTAAAGGACAAGGCAGTGATTGTGAAATACTGTCAGATTAACAAAATGGGCAAAACAGATATATAAGCATATATTGCTTATATTTTTTGCTTGTATTTTACTTATATTGCTTGTATTTTACTTATATTTTTTTCATGTTGCTCTGTAGCTGTAGGTAAAATAGAGTACTTTCAGACAGAAATTCAGCTTTCTGTTTGATGCTAATTTGTGCATATAAACACTTTTTTAAAAAGTTATTGGGGGATTTTTAAGTTATTGAATACTAAAGAGTTCTCCAAAGGAACAGTTTTTATACAGAATTCTTGCAGATATAAAGGAAGACTTTTGGCTTAGCGGGTTATTGTTATTGGGCTGGCAAGATTTGTTACCCTTTTTGTTACTCTTCTTCTGTGACTTCAGAGAAAGCCAGATAATGAGAAGAAAAATAACTGGGGCTAGGGAAAGAAAAAAAAAAAAAAAAAAAGACCTGGATAAAGTGACCTACAGTCCTAGTCTGAATTTAGTAAAAGCAAAGAGAGAACTTAGGAGTAAAAATAAAAAAAACAACTATCTTCCATCTTCAGGTGCAGACAGATCTCTCCATTGGACACTCCTCTGATTGTTTTAGGATTAGTATTATGGTCCTTGTATTACCTACAGGACTAGAGATGAGGCCTCCCCTCTACAAACACAGATAAAGAGAAAGCCTTGTCCCCAAAACCTCGGAGAGTGTAATCACCACGGAGCAGGGGGGGCTGCTGACAGGGGTGTCTGAAGTGACTTGTCACACAGTGAGCGGCAGAGACAAGGAGTAGCACTCCTTTGAAAAGGGCAAACTATCCTCGATGCTTCAAGTGATTTCCAGACTTAGATCTTTCAAGTTCCCAGAGGAAATAATAGGGCTGTGGAAGCCCCAAGTTTATCCTCCTAACTGACCTTAAATTCAACAAAGCACGCAGACAATATAAAGAATGCCCGGATCACATGGAAACTGTTGGTTTCAGGACTTAGGCACTCAGCTGGAGATACGTGAGCCCTGATCTTTGACCTCAGGGAAGACATCGGGGACATCAAAGCATTCCCCCTCTTTTTTTTTTTTTTTTTAGCTGATCATAACTTAATTCAGGCAACAAGGATGGTCTCCCTCTTGAGTCACCGAAGTTCATTCATCCTTGGAAACTTTTGTCTTTTTTCTTTTTTTAAGTTTGCATCACTTTCTAGAAGGGAATACTGAAAAACGGGGATTTGAAGGGCTAACTAATGATCTAATGACTTCAGTGGGAGGAGGAGGCTGCTGTGGTGTGGGGACAGCTTCAGCAAATGCAGCAGAGAGACTGGGACTTGACTAAGACAAAACCAGACTGAAATATCTCCTCTTCCCTTGTTTTGGAAACGTTGGCCAAAAAGAAGAGCTGCTCACCAAGGTTACACATAACCTCTTATCAACACCCTGGCTCTGCAAAGCCTCATAAATTTTACAGCTGTAAACCCACTTGGTTTCTTTGCTCTTCACAATAAAATGTGGGACCACAGGGAGGTGTTTTGCTGTCATCTGTATCCTGTTTACGAATTTTGTCGCTGTGGCTTTGCCCTGTCTATGTTTAGACAAAAATAAAAAAAACAACCCCAAAAGCCCTTGATGCCTGATTAGGAATGAAAGAAAAAAAAATCACAGTCACTGAAAATAAGCCTGAGGAAGTGTAGTTGCCTCCAGCTACTCAGTTAAGAGAAAATGATGTAGAGCACTTAGAGGCAAGAGGATAAGATCCATGGAAGTGCTCAGGAGCAGGAGGGAAGTGCTGCAGATGGAGGTCATAGATAAAACAAAGTCCCACGTTGCTGGAATTGCAAGTTCCATGGCAGTTTGGAAAGCAGGCTGTCAATGTGTCCTAAAAAAGACGGTATAAAAGGGACAGCAAATGAGAGCCTTTATATATCTGTGCAGTTTTTTTCTTCCATGTTGGCATGCAAGCCTGGGTCTGGGTGCAAACAAACATCTGAGAACATCTGCTTCAAGATGATCCGTAAAGTGATTTAATTTTGTGTGTGTGACCTGTGAGGGGCACTTTGAGGGTCTGTGGATAACTACTGAGGGAATCCACAAAACAGAATGTAGGAAAGCCAGGCTGTCAGCAAACTTCATGTAAGAGACACTCAGGGGAGTCTGCAGTTCCAAACCAGGGCACAACCAGTGCAGTCATGGAAGTAATATTTTTTTATTTTCTCAGCTATTTATTAAAAGTCAACTCCTTAGTTCCTCCTTAGGCTACCTTGAAAAGAAATTCATCCCACTCCCCTTTAAACAACAATACTGCAGGACATAAAAATCCCAGATATAGTTTTAAACAGTTAATATGATATTCCTCAAATATTATCTCTAGAAATTTGAAATTAAATATATGTATTGGTACAACATAGCAATTCTAAGTTGTACAAAACCTCTGTCCATGACATTATTGTTACATCTTAAATACTTGATAAAATGAAATTATGAAAAAGTCATAAAAGCTTTAAGTCACATATATTGTATGTGCAGTGTGGAGTTATTATTATTGTTATAGCAGCAAAGCTGTAGCACTATCTACATATAGTAGACTCTATATCTAGGCAAAAAGCTGTTGTAGTTGCATTTTGTTACATAGAACATCAATTTTCTTAAATATCTGAGAACTTGTCTTCAGTGTGATGTCACCTCTTAGAAATATTTTGAAGTTCTGCACTGGTGGGAGTCATACAAAAATCCTGTACCCTTGTGTGACAGCATAGATGGACATATTCACACTTAGTTTAAAAAGTAGGTATTTATTCATGAGAATGTATTTACTTGCTGGAAAGAATCCTAACTACTCATGGAATGGTTTTATTGACAGCGAGTCATGTTCCGATCCCACCACTGCTTCTATCAGGTTGCTGCAGGCTTCCACATACACGAGCTTATTTGTAGGCCCGGTGGGTTTTGAGGAGTTGTTTGAACAATGAAGAGAAACCCAATATCAGTACTCCCAAGATATTTATCATGCTTTTGCAGCCAGAAGAGGGCTTGGGTGCTTGTGTCCCTGGACGCTGTGGTTTGGGGTGATGTTTTGGGTGGCACTGAGCCTCTCCGATCCCCTCCCCGCAGGCGCTACCCCACGGTCGAGCTGCGTGCCGAGACCTTCAGCAGCTCCACGCACGTCCCCATCCCCTCGCACAGCGCCTTAAGGCCCTGCTCTTGGAGCTGAGGCTGGTGGACGAGCACGTTTTCGTGGAGCAGCGGGACACCTGCACCAGGATCAACCACGTCCACCGCCGCCGGGGAGCTCTGGCCCGTGCTGGCCTTCTGCAAGAGCGGCCTCATCTACGGCTGCGTCCCGCTGGTGGAGGGGACCCTGGAGCCACGGCCACCCCTCCTCACTGTCAGCGGGCTCTCACAGGGATTGGCTCTGCTGTGGGCATCATGCACTACGTCTCTCCCAGCCGGAAAAACGAGGCTGAGCTGAGCAGCAAGGTCAGGCAGCTCCGAAATCTGCTGATCCAGGCCTGTCCCCTGGGCGCCCCCTAAACACCAACATCCGCAGCCTGAGCAGCTCCTTCAAGGACATCCAGGAGATGCCTGCAGATAAGGAGCAGCCAACCTGGAGATCCCTGGAGATCCAGCACCTACAAGGGCAAACCTCAGGTTCATGTCAGGCATCACTGAGAAGGTCAAGTGTATGCAGTATGAGTGGAGGGATGTGGTGGATACGTGGCAAGTTTATGGAGCTGTGAACTGGAAGGTGAGAGATGTTTGATATGTGCAAAGTAGTTTTTGTGCAAAGTAAATACTTATTTGATGTGCAATTATATACTGAGTTGAAAATTTTCCCGATTTTTGTTGTCTGACTTACATTCAGGAGTTATTGGTACCTTTGACTGCTTGGCCACATTGCCCTTACTTTAAATGAACTACTGAAATGCCTGAATTAGACAAAATATCTCCAGGCTGAGATGTCTAAATGTCTTCTACAAGTGTCCTTCCATGAGCATTTTAATTATTTTTCCTGCCAAATGGAAATTTATTCTTCTGTTCTTTCTTATTCTACTACAACAACATTTTGATCCCACAAATGCTGGTATTTCATGACATAAGAACAGTTGATAAAGAACCTAGTGAAAGAAACTGGTTGTATAATTATTTTGGATGGTTTGTATGTGACAGTGGTTTTCATTGTAGAAGCCCAGAATGGTTTGGCTTGGAAGGGACCTTAAAGATCATCACATTCCAACTCCCTGCCATGGGCAGGGACACCTTCCACTTGCTCCAAACCCTGTCTAACCAGGCCTTGAACACTTCTAGAGATGGGCTTCCCTGGGCATTGTTTAATATTGAAATACCTCATTGTTTAATATTGCAAACTGGGGACTATTGACTAAATACATCCATCATAATTATGAAATATATTCAAATTTGTAACTATAATTTGTACTGTCATTCATTCTTGTTTTGAATAATGCTTAGGAAGCACACAATATTATCTTGGCATACTGTATTTGTAACTGCCAGTGTTTTACAAAGAGAGAGCCCTGCTAATAAAGTGGTAATTTAATTATTTGCATGCAGTGGGAATCTCATCTCCAAAGGAGGCCGACCTAAATGCTGCACTTCCAAAGCCTGGGTCATTTCCCACCTGCCATGCTGGTAGGGACTGTGTGGGTGAGGAGCTTCCTGCTCTCAGAGGGACAATTCACAGGTTATTTTGCAGGGTGGGTGGATGGCCTTACACAAGAAGAAAGCCCAGGTGTGATCGTGGCCTGCTGGGGATGAGACAAGGGACACTCTGCTGTGACAGAGCTGGCATGGGACCACAGAGACCATCCAGAGCATGCTGGAATCCATTAAGTGGCTGTTGTAATTAATTAAATTGTCAGCAAGTGTGTGAGACTGATGTCTTAGTACTGGTGGTTGGTACTAATGATCAAAGACAACTGAAAATCGGTTGGGATTTTATTTCTTTTTAATGCTAAAAATGTGGTTTCTTTTTGAACATCTCACTGTGACTCGGTTCAGGTGTTTTAGAATAATGTCTTGACTCCCTTTTCCCCAGTGTGACACAGAGGGATCTGCACCAAACGTCACCCTCAGCCTGACCCTCCCAATGAACGTGCCCTGCTCCAAGACTTCGTGGTCCATCACTGTGTGAGCTCCGTGGACCCTGCCATGCTCATGTCCACCAGTGCTGAGCCTCTGCATGATTCTGTGCACAATGGACCTTACAAACTCCCTTTCATTCCTCCTTCAGATTCCTTCAACCTCTGTTACTACACTTCCCAGGTAACAGCACACTCCCAACTCGTGGTGTTTTCTAGTGTTCAAACAGAAATAAAAACACCTGTGTGGGCATCAGCCCACATGGACATGCTGGAGTGAGTTTGAGTCCAACATTGATAACAAAACATTATATTAAATGGTTTTTGTGTAATATATTGCCTGGAAAGCACTCGAGGACTTGAGTTGTCTGAATCACCTTCAGGAGTTACTGATATCTTTGCTTGGCAATGCTGCTCTTACTTTAAATCAGCCACTTAAAATGCTTGAATTAGGCAAATTATATCCAGGTTGAGATGTCAAGTGCATGCCCCCCAAGTCTGTTATCACAAGCAGCCTGAAGAGTTTAGCACAGTCTCTAATTAATATGTGTTTGGGGTCTTTTTTAAAGTACTTTAGCAATGAAAACAGCATATAACTGATCTTGTGATGATGGTGTTAATGTATCTTGAGAATGAATATAGTTTTTTCCAGGTTCCTGTTCCACCAATTTTGGGATGTTATCAACTCGTTGAAGAGGGATCACAGATAAAAATAAGTTAATTTAAAGCTCCATGAAAGCATAAAGAATTATTTTGAGTACTGTGAAGCTCATATACCTTTCTTCAACAGGTAAGAATAAAGAAAACCTAAATAAATTTCTACCATTTCTTCCATTTATCTTCCCAGAATGAACTTGTCAGGAGTCAGTATAACAGATTATGCTCCCTCAGGGTGCTACCAGTGAACACCAGCGTGGTGAAATGAGGCAGAATACAGAATTATATCAGAATATCTGGTGACATTCCAAACACTTATGTTGTTCATCCTGTTTGCCTGTTGTATCTTCTCACATGAAACTCTGCCAAAATCCCCCAGGTGGATTAAGCTGGGGATCACTTCCAACCCAACAGGGTTACCTGTTCCTTAAGACTGCTAATCCTAGCTACAGATCAGCTTATCAAAAATATAGTTATTTCAAATTAAAACGATAGTTTTCATCTAAGCCTCTCTGACAGCTGCCATGACCACGCTGCCACCTAATTATCATGAAAATTCAAAGATGTAATGATACAAAGTTGCTGATGCTGATCACAGTGTTAGTAAAACACTATCAGTGAACTGAAACATCAACAGCTCCTTCATGATTACTGGGCTGAGAGCACAGGGATTTCCTCCTGCTCTGTAATTTTTTCTCATAAATTAGCAGTGTGCTCAGATAGGTGTATGCACATAAATAATGTCTGTCAGCATTTCCTGGCTTTGTGTAACAAAACAGGCATTAACAAATGCTGAATGCTAGTAATTGCAGTGGTTTTATTTCTCCTCTCTCCCACCCAGGGGCCCCACTGCTCAGTTAGAGTACAAAGTTAGTTATGGCCAGCTGGATTTGTCCCGGGAGAAGAGCCTCCTGCTTTGGGTCATTGGTAAGGACCACCCCCCTGTGCCTGCCCTTCCTTCCCCAGCCCCTTCTCTGCAGCCTGGGCACAGCTGTGTGACATCTGTGTGACATAGATGCTGTCTCTGCCTTTAGGACAGAAGTTCCCCAAATCTTTGGAGGTTTCCCTGACTGGAAATGTGTCTTTTGGCACCGCAGGCAAAGAGCACCCAACTGATTATGTGTGCACTGGGAACACTGCTTATGTAAAAGTAAGTCACAGGCTCTGGGAAAAGAGGCCTTAGGAGCCACTTTTTTATTGTCTTCAATTGAAGATATATTGATTTAAAATCTCATATTCTCAGCATGGATTTTTGTTTACCTGCCTAAAGGATTTGACATCCTGTCACTTTGGAGTACCCTTGCACACGCAGAGTGTGTGACATAGACTGCCAGGATTTGTACAGCAAGGGTGACAATGTGCATCTGATTGTGTTTTCCCTCTCTTTTTGTAGCTGTATTTTAGGATCCCAGACTTTACACTTACTGGATGTTACATAGACCAGCATTCTGTTCAGATTTTCGTTCCAGGGAAGCCCAAAATTACTGCATGTGAGTTGCTAAAATTGAATTGCAGTTATGAACTATCAATGACTAAAATTACATTACTAAAGTTGGACTTTTGTACTCTGCTGTTGATTTGGAGTTTTTTTGTGATGTTTAAAGTATCCCTGGAGTAGGAACTGGCCTCTCCCTTTGAAATGAGATCTCTTACCAAGTCAGCCTTTCTCTGGGGCTCTCTCCCCTCTGCCCTGAGGTGGTTCCTATGCTCTCCATAATGGCAGAACTTTTTTGGGGGGACACAGGGAATGATTCTCTTTAATCTAGCCCCTTTTTTAGAACACCTTGGTCAGAGACATTTTGGGTGGGTTGGCAGTACCCAGATACAGAACTCAGCTCCTGCATGCAAGGTGACACTGCTGCTGTCAGTGTCATCACACCAGCACCTCTAGGTGGATCTCTGCACTGAACGTGTGAAGCAGAACCCAAATCTGCTTTTTGTTAACACATGAGCACTGCCAAGCCTGCACCAAAATAACTAAATAGCACACAGAAAGCACTCATTAAACCTGAGCAGCTCTGCCTAATGGAAGCACTTTTATTTGTAGCTGTCTCTCTGTTGCAACTTCTGCCAGTCATGGTAGCAGAACTCTATAAATGCCTTTTGAAAAGCATGGTCTACACTGTTAATTTTGTGATAGGTCACACTCAGCCCTAAATTGTAACACAGAAAAAGCAGCGTTTTTATGTTTTATATTGAGTGTGCAATTTATATTCATTGAAGAAAATCCAAGCCATCCACCTGCTTTTGACTTAACCTCTGTTTGAATTTTAAGCTCATGACTGATACATTAGTAAAGTAATTGAAGCTGAGACTTTAAATGTCTCATTATCAGAAATGATTTTCAAATAATAGTAAGAGTCTTACAGTTTAAAGAGGCCATTATACCTTTTCTGTAAACTGGTAAGGATGGATTAGTAGTCACTTAAACTTGGATGAAGGAATGTCTGATTGTGAGGCACCCTGTAATGCTTATTTTTCTTGCCTGTTTTTTCCCTTTAGCCTGGGAATTAATTTCTTCTGATTACTACATCTGGAATTCCAAAGCACCAGCACCTATGGTGTACAAACCCTTACTTGACTAATGTACTTGGGAATGATTTTTATATTTAAACAAAGCACAATGTTAATTAGATTTATGTCATGATACAGTAAAATAAATATTCTTCATCACTTTTGTTTTCTTCGTGTTCTTAAAAATTTCTGTTGGTGGAAAAGAAGAGGTCACTTGTCTTAAAAACGTGAGTTGGGCTTAAATTGTTGAGTTCTGGCTGACAGCCTGGAGAGGGCAATTTGAAATGTACTTACTGTGGCTGGTTTTACTTTCCCTTCTAACTGATACAAAATAAGTACCTGGTGTTACAGGTACAGACATTGAGATTCCCACTTACTTCACTGGTTTCCCATTGCAGGATGGGAAAGGTTTCAACATCCTATTCCTGTCCTAAAGTCACAAGAATCTCACCAAACTCTAGATTCAGAGAACAGTTCAAAGCAGAAGCTCTGTTATTTTTACAAGATGCGTACAGAATACACACCAGTCAATAACTACAAGGATTTTCAAGAGGAGGAGTATGGCATGAGCAGCACTTCTGAAAGTGGAGGCAATTTTACTGAAGGAATCTTTATTGCCTCTGCCAGCAGAAGTGGTGAGTTCCCTTGCACACATGCCTGTGAACTGCTTGCTCTGGAAGCAGAGGTGTGAACTGGGTTTTTCAGCTCACAGGACTGGTTCTGAGGAGGCAAAAACAGCAACATTTGCTGGAAGATCCAGAAACCTTCACTGAGCTGCTTTTCCTGGAAAAGCAAGTGGAAAAAGTCTCAATGTACAGATGCAAACCTGTCATTTTGAGATCTGCAGAAACACTGGGAATGGACCTTAGGAGAGTTATCAGGAAATGTGCAGATTCTGAAGGGCTGGTGAGGAGGTGCCAGAACCTGGAGAGCACAAAAGCAGGGGATGCTGATTCCTAACAGAGCTGCTCCTGCCCTGCCTTGTGTTTCACTGTGCTCTGTGGGGTAACTCAGATCAGGAACTGTGCAAGGAGGGAATTTTAAGCTATAATCTGAAAAATCTTTAGATTGATAGAGTAATCTGTTGGGTTGGTTAAATGTTCTAGAGGGTGGATTCGTTCCTGTGAGATGCTGTTGAGCTGAAAATGCTGTGCAAACTTAGAGAACAGAGCTGTGCCCTGTCTCACACAGGTGATGTGTCTGTTTTTTTAGCAGCAAAAGGTGAGTTTGTGATTCTACCCATGGCCCAGCCTGTCCCTGCTGGAGTTGTCCACATCTGGACACCACGGTGTGAGTGGGAAGAGGAGCTCTCTGCTGGAAGAGTTTGGAGCCTGTTCTGGACACCAGGCCACGGGCTTTGGCTTCCACCTGCCCATGAGAAAGGTGGTAGCTCTGTTCTGCACAGCAGCTCTCTGCAGGAATGGCTTTTCTTACTCAAACACTCCCTAGTAAATTCTGGGAAGCAATGGCACTGCCTAAATTCATGGTATCTTGGCACTTAATAGAAGAGGATTCTTCTAAATCCTGATCCTTTGCGTTTTCCTCTTGCCCGTGTCTCTGACTCTCTCATGGCATTCCTTTAGCTCTTTAATAAAATAAACAAGTTTTTAATAGAACAGTCTCTTTTAAAATGCGTTAAAGGGAAAAAACAAAAAAAAATTCTTTTGGTACAGAGTGCTGTTTCTTCTACTAGAGTGTTTGCTGCTTGAAGTGCTTCTATTTATCATTTTGTCCAGGCATAGATTATATGAGATCTTTGTGAAGGTAACAGCACAAGGACTATGCAAAAGAAGTGGCCAAAGAGTTCTCCAGACTTTGTATTTTGTTTTAGAGAGCCAGAAGAAAACTAAGATGCAAAGAACTGAAAACAATAAATGTAAGGACTTAAATAATGGTTTGCAAACATGACATTCCCCCCTGCCACCACTCAAAAAAATACTGGGTATAAATATTAAGGAGTAAATATGGAACTCACTTCATTAGTGAAATTCATTTGCTTCATTTCATTAAAATTTGGGAGTAATGTAAGAAACAGCAATTAAAATTAATTTAAAGCAAATACACACTGTCGAAGCTTTTGAGGTGAGACTGAACATTCATTGGCAATGAGAATTGATGTAACAGATCTCCAAGAAATTAACATAATGCAAAATCCATGTATAACCCACTAAACACAGCAAAAATGGCTGAGGTTTCCAAATCCAGTGGTATTGGGAAACCCTCATCAAACCTGTTTTGTTGAACACTTGTGGAAGGTGTGGAGGGAAATGGGGAATTTGCACTGAGGTTCCCAGAGGCTGAGAAGCTGCAATTCCTGCTCCTCTCACCACAGTGGGGAACCAGTCCCCCTAACACAGTTCCATGTTGTCAAATCTGTCAATGGTCACTACTCAGGAATTTGATGGTTTTCCAATTTTTTGGAAGCCCTTTCCTCCCCCAGGGTATTTGGTGACAGCTCCAAGATGGTTTATACCAGTTCTTGAGGAATTTTGGGGTAAATCCTGTTCCTTTAGATAATTTGGAAGTCATCACGTTTTTCATGTAATTCAGCTATTCCCTGCATTTTTTTGCTATTTTTACCAGTGTTAATTGCTGTGGCCATTTGTTACAGTAAACACTGAAACAACGAAGCATTCAACATTCCATGGCTGTCCCCAGTTGATTCATGCTGTCCTAGGAATTGGCCACACTCTGTCCTATTTGTACAAGCCCTGCTGAGATTTAAGCCAGAAGAGAGTTTGTAAGTCCATGTTTGTCCCTCACTACTTTGGCTGACTCCCTCACCACCACCTCCCTGTTCTCTCATCCCTAGGGGACAGACAAAATAAAAGGTTTTTATTTTTAGCACCTGTTCAACACCTTTTATTTCAACACCTTTTACAGTGGGGAAAACCAAGCCCACACAAGGCTGAATGCATCCTGAGGGCACCATGGTGGGAAATTCGGGCAGCCCTCGATCCCAAACGAGACATTAGATGAGAATTTTGTGCATCCCAGTTTGGGAAGTGCAAGTTTCCCTGGAAGAGCTGCTGTAGCTCTTTATGGCTGTCAGTGGCAATCCCACAGGGGCACCTTGGGTTTGTTTTTAAATTTCATTCCCCTCTTGCCACCAAAATCTTGCCACACAAACCCAACACAACAATTCAAGTGCAGGGAACAAAGATTTAACTGTGGCTCCCCTGGACATCCTGGGGACCCATAACATGGGGATAGGTGCCACTCATTGACCACCTAAAATTCCTCTTCTTTATTTCCCCAAATCTCCTGTTTCCCAAAATGCACCAATGTGCTGATTCTTGCAGGAATGAGGTGGTAACTCAATAGGGTGGTAATTCAATAAGGTGGTAACTCAATAATGTGGTAATTCCCCCTGCAGGTGAGCAGGACCTGAGAGGAAAAAAAGCTCTTTTCCCCTAAAAATGGGATTCTCTGTCTTGTGAGCAGGCTGGCATTAAAGCAGCGTCTCTCTCCACCCACACCCAGATCCAAAGGACTGTGGGGTCGTTGCTGCAGCCCTGCAGCAGGCAGGACAGCCAGCCAGGATTCCCAAGAGGCTTTCCCAGGAAAGCAGCACCCCTGGAGCTGCAGTGCTGCATGTGAGCAGGACAGCAGTGCCACCACTCCCTCCCAAGTCAAGGGGGCCAGGGAGGAGCTGGAAAGGAGAGGAGCTGTCCTTCTCCCAAGGGCTGGGACGGCCCATTCCTCCCCTAACCAAACCTCACTGCCCTCAAAGGGGCCAGAGGGCTCCCCCAAAAGCTTCCCCATTAAAGATGCACCTGTCCCCCAGGATGCCACACCCTCAACAAATCAAACCAAATACTACAGGCAGATCTCAACCCTCAGGGATGCTTTTTTCCTAAAGGCTCCTGACCCACAGTGCAACTGAAAATCAACTATTTTAAGCCACAGGCCTGTCCCCTTTTCTCCTTCTTGCTTTTATGAGGCCTCCAAGAAACCTGGTCGAGCTGTAGACAAGTTTTTGAAAGCCTGATGCCATTTGCAGAGACACGTAACAGCAGAGAGCTAAACCCAACCCATTTTCTTCCCAATGAGATCAGCTGGTCACTTTTGATTTTCTCTAGAAACCTATCTCTTCAGGACCTTTCTTTCTCCTTTTTCTTTATTTTTTTGAAGTCAAAGTCTGTTTCCCGTTTGGTAGGTGACCTGTTTAATGTTTTCCCTGTGTCTGGGAACTCCTTAGTGTAATTAGCGACCTTTGAACTCCACAACTAATCCTGAGCTATTTTGTATTCCTTACTCATCTTTAAGGCTGGACCTTTCTTTTCTTTTGAGTCCGCTGCCACAATTAAAGAAGAAACAGCTGCATTTCAAAGGGATTCCAATTCCAGAAGCTTAATCGTGATTGACATGTTCTTATTCTAAGCTATAAGAAACTCTAAGAGTCCTTTCTTGGGTTAAAACTTCAATCATTTTCTAAAAAATTATCTCAATATGGATTTTATTCATTTTCTTTGATAACCATTCTTTGTGATTTTTTTAACTTGAAAGATGCTTTGAGTTTGTGATGAATATGAACTGTGCCCACCGAAAGAATGAATGGTGTCAGGCTCGGGCTGGATGCAGAAGTGCCTAAATTCCATTTGTTGTCAAAATCTGATTATGAAACCTGACGTCCTCCATGTAGCTTGACATCATTCCTCATGCCCCAAAGGAAGGAGAGGTGGAAGCTCTTGCAAATGAACCCCAGGAAAGCTGAGAAGGGACATGACATAAAGCATTCTCCAGAAATAGATATATTTTTTAACAGCTTTTCCCAATTTTTATAGCACAGATTAATAAGCCTTCCAGTCTTGGAAGGGCCTCTCTTCACTCTTGGAGAAATGAATTTGCAATGAAAAGCCACTGCCAAAAGCAGCTGCTTTAAAACAGGGATAATTTGTGAGGTTTAAAATTATTGCCACAAACCCTGAGCGAGGCTGTGGTGCTTAAATCTCCTCCAAGGGCTGATCCTAGAAAATGATGGGAGCCTATTGGGTCCCGTTATTTAATTATCTCCCTCTCACTTACATTCGAATTCAGTGTGACCTCAGAAAGATGGGCTTAGGAAAAAAAAAATAAAAGCAGCAAAAAGCCTGAAAATCTGTTTGTGTGTTTGCCCAGATCCACCTGATCTTTGGCACAGATCCGTGGGCATCACTGATGGTCTAGACCTGTCCCAAAATCATCCCAAAGAACCCCAGGAACGGCAGCAGGCAAGACCTGGTGTTCCTAAGACAAAGGTCAAATAAAAAAAAGGAGGTTAATAAACAGCCCTCCGGTTTAAAGGGACTTTTTTTCCTTTTTTTTTTTTTTTTTACGGATTACATCTTAAATTCCAACAAATCAGATTTAGGAGTTACTGAAAGTGAAATTGATCCATCCCTCAGCCAAACTTTGCAATACTTTCCTGTTCTGACATCATTTAGATAGTTAGCTGCATTATCAGATTAAAAACCATTGTACAGGGCCGCTGAAAGGAAAAGGAGCCAAAAAGCTAAACACTGCCTGAATTCTGAACCTTTTAACCTGGCTGAAGTACGGTGGGGTCCCTGTTATGCAAATACCTTCAATCCTCTGCTAAGTTCAGTGGAAATAATTTTCTTGAATGACAGGTTTATTCAGCAAGGATTCAGTTGGCGATTAATCCCCCTTTGATCTAAGGTATTTCACTTAACTAGCAGTTACCTCGTCCTGACAAAGTGCAACCCAGATTAGGGAGATCACCAGAACGCGCCCGGGCTCGGCGTTTATTCCCCCTGCGCAGCCCTTCAAAGGGAAGGGCCAGGAATGCAATCTATTGCCACTATTTGAAGATGGAAAGTCCTGTCTCCCGAGTTAGAAAGTCAATTGAATACCAAGTGGGGTTGGGTCCTGACCGAGCTCTGACCAGAGATATTCCCACTCCTTGGGGTATTTTTTTTTTATTCTGGCCCCGTTTTCAGCCAGGTTTCCACTCTTCTTGCTGCCTGTTTATTTTGGATCAGCACATGACACCTTTGCTTTTGGGCAAAGAGGATATTTCCCAGTTTTGTGCTCTTTTTGAGTTATTTCCCCATTTTCGGGCTATTATTTCTTCATTTTTTTGTAGCTATAGGACATGAGAAAGCACAACACGAGCCACTGCGATGGCAAGGTAAAAAAGAAGAAGGTTTATTCTCTGACTCCAACTTTTATACTTTTCCAAAGGTGACAGTGGATTGGAGAGTGAATGTGCCACCTCTCCAAAGACATTGGACAAACCACCAGTACATCAACTTCCTCCACCCCCACGAAGGAATGCAAAATAATATATTGTTTATAGAAAATGTGTGGGAAAGTTTTCTAACAGAATGTAAACTCAGAAGGCTTTAGAAAATCTTAAAAATCAGAGTGACAGTTTTTTTTGCTAAAAAATCCTATTTGCACTTCTCCAGCAAGTACACATATTTATTAATATATAAGAGATGTAACGTATTAATGAATATTACATGTATTATAAATGCATCTATTTTAAAAACTGATACTAGAGCTAACCACTCAAATTACATCCAAACAACAAAATTTTGCTGAGTTATAGATCAATCTCACTTTCAGTAATTCCTAAATCAGATTTGCTGGAATTTAAGATGTAATTATT